CTTGGAGGTGGGTAGGGGGAGGAAACAAGGGGTGACTCAGAAGGGGGGAGCACCTACACCTATTCTCTGAGAAACAAAGTCCTGGAAAAAACTGATAAAGGGCATCTTCTTCCATGAAACAAAACCCGTTATTGGGATCTATATTCCTCCTAGAGTCATACGCATGTGAGAAATTTCAGAAAAATGTAAAATTAAAAATTGCCACACCTCCTCAAATCTCATAGCTGTTAACTGGGGGTGTGGCCACAGGCAGAGCATGGCTGTAGCTGTAGACTGTATAGCATTCAATCTCTGCAGACTGATACATTGGCACAGAATGAAGTGTAAGGTGCAGTCACTGTACAGAGCTACTATAGAGGAAACAGTGCCTGCCTATGTAATGAGCAAACATACACTATACCTAGAAGAAAGATTTAGAATACATTATGGCACATCAATAATGATATTTACACAAGACTTATCTCATTCACATGTACAGTCATGGCCGAAATTGTTGGCACCCTTGATATTTTTCCTGAAAATCAAGTATTTCACACAAAAAAGGTATTGCATTAACACATGTTTTGCTATACACATGTTTATTCCCTTTGTATGTATTGGAACAAATATAAAACAGAGGCAGAAAAGCAAAATATGACATAATGTCACACAAAACCCCAAAAAATGGGCTGGACAAAAGTATTGGCACCCTTAACTTAATATTTGGTTGCACACCCTTTGGAAAACATAACTGAAATCAGTCGCTTCCTATAACCATCAATAAGCTTCTGACACCTCTCACCCGGAATTTTGGACCACTCTTCCTTTGCAAACAGCTCCAGGTCTCTCTTATTGGAAGGACACCTTTTCCCAACAGCAATTTTAAGATCTCTCCACAGGTGTTCAATGGGATTTAGATCTGGGCTCATTGCTGGCCACTTCAGAACTCTCCAGCGCTTCTTTGCCATCCATTTCTGAGTGCTTTTTGACGTATGTTTGGGGTCATTGTCCTGCTGGAAGACCCAGGATCTTGGACGCAAACCCAGCTTTCTGACACTGGGCCCTACAGTGCGACCCAAAATCCTTTGGTAATCCTCAGATTTCATGATGCCTTGCACACAGTCAAGGCACCCAGTGCCAGAGGCAGCAAAACAACCCCAAAACATCATTGAACCTCCACCATATTTTACCGTAGGTACTGTGTTTTGTTCTTTGTAGGCCTCATTCCGTTTTCGGTAAACAGTAGAATGATGTGCTTTACCGAAAAGCTCTATCTTGGTCTCATCTGTCCACAAGACGTTTTCCCAGAAGGCTTTTGGCTTACTCAAGTACATTTTGGCAAACTGTAGTCTTGCTTTTTTATGTCTCTGTGTCAGCAGTGGGGTCCTCCTGGGTCTCCTGCCATAGCGTTTCATTTCATTTAAATGTCGACGGATAGTTCGCGCTGACACTGATGCTCCCTGAGCCTGCAGGACAGCTTGAATGTCTTTGGAACATGTTTGGGGCTGCTTATCCACCATCCGGACTATTCTGCGTTGCAATCTTTCATCAATTTTCCTCATCCGTCCACGACCAGGGAGATTAGCTACAGTGCCATGGGTTGCAAACTTCTTGATAATGTTGCGCACTGTGGACAAAGGCAAATCTAGTTCTCTGGAGATGGACTTGTAACCTTGAGATTGTTGATATTTTGCCACAATTTTGGTTCTCAGGTCCTCAGACAGTTCTCGTCTCCTCTTTCTGTTGTCCATGCTTAGTGTGGCACAGACAGACACACAATGCAAAGGTTAAGTGAACGTCTCTCCTTTTTATCTGCTTTCAGGTGTGATTTCTATATTGCCCACACCTGTTACTTGCCCAGGTGAGTTTACAGGAGCATCACATGCTTGTAACATTCTTATTTATCCGCAGTTGTGAAAGGGTGCCAATACTTTTGTCCAGCCCATTTTTGGAGGTTTGTGTGACATTATGTCGAATTTGCTTTCTTTCCTCCCTTTTTTTTGTTTTGTCCCAATACACACAAAGGGAATAAACATGTGTATAGCAAAACATGTGTTAATGCAATACGTTTCGTGAGAAATACATGATTTCCTGGAGAAATATCAAGGGTGCCAACAATTTCGGCCATGACTGTATATCTGAAAACCATTAACAGGGCTATGGATTCTCTTTAGGCAAATACAGTTGATTGGAGATTGAAGATGAATTACACACGCGGGACAGATTTATAGCCCTATACTAAGGCTTCCTTCCCTCCATCTGTTACTATGAAGATGGACAGGGTGGCAGGGAAGAATGACAGGAAAGTATGAGAAGAGGTGATGCCTACTAACACAGGTCTGCTTTAAAGAGACTACTTAAAAAAGTAAAAAGGGATAATACTTACCCCTCCCCCACAGCACCAGCCATCCGTCTATGCTGCTTTGTAGTGCTAACCCAGCTATGAAATCTTCAGCATCCAACGTGTCAGGGAGTGCTGGATGTCTGATTCCTCTCTGCATGGCGTGGTTCCTTCAGCCAGCCCCTATGTCACCACAGGACAAGGGGTGTATTTATCACAAGGTGAACAAGGCATTTGCCTAGGGCAGCATTTTTCAGGGGGGGGGGAAGCACTGCCCTCCGGAAGAAGGGTCACGCATGGCATGGGGACCAGGTGGGAACCAAGAGAGACTGCAGGCTGCGTGACGGTGTATGCAGCCCCCGACTCTCGTTCCCGGGGATGTCTGGAGCTGTGCAGATCAGTGTCTTTCTCTCTCTCCAAGGGGAAAGGGGGGGGGTGGTAGTGGAAGGCTCTCTTGGGTGGTGGGGGGGCAGGGGTGTTGTTGGTAAATGTCAGGCTCTCTCCGCAGGAGGGGGGAGAGGGAGGTGGTGTTTGTTGGTGTCAGGCTCTCTCGGGGGGGGGGGGGGCGCTAATTTTTTTGGTGTTGCCTAGGGCAACACAGAACCAACATACACCACTGCACAGGACACCATAGCGATGTTGGGGCCATCAGTAGAAATCACAGCATGCAATCCACAGTGGCATCCCAGCCCAGACTGGCCATAGGGTACACCGGGCTGGCTAGGAGGGGCGGCAGGGGCAGGAAATAGAGGAAACGATCTCTCCATTTCCCTCATGCCACCACTGGATGCCAGCTTCTCCTCCTCTTCCTCTTGCAGGCTATCAGCAGTTGCAGGAGAGAAATGGACGGATTGGTTCCTCTATATGCCGGTCCGCCAACCCTCCTATCCATCTCCAGGCCCCTGTGTGCTCTCCCCAGGACTCTCCTCCTCCACAGCACTGCCAGTTTCCCCCCCTCACCTGCCGGCTGCTGCTGGGAATCTGTCAGGATGGAAAGCAGGGAAGGGGCCAGTAAATGTCATTTTCAGTACGGATCACGGACTATCCATTCATAACTGAGGCATAGTAAACTGTTTACTATACTTCAGTTTATGAATGAATGGGAACATCTGTACAGAGCTATTCATTTCCATTCATTCTGTGCTGCTGAGGCTGCAGAGATGGAGATTGAGGGCTGTGTCCTCAATCTCCTTTCTCTGTCTGAAAGGTGAGATGTCAGCCCCCCAATGGTGCTCCTAAAAAAAAATGTAAAAAAATAAAATTGTAAAATAAATAAAATGGTAAAAAATAATAATTGAGAAAAAAAAAAAAACTTCTGACACCAGTGGCGGAATTAACAGGGTCGCAAAGGTCGGAACTTGCAACCGGCCCTGGTGTTCTGCCACTGGACTCCAAGGGAAGGGCCCACAGGCTTGGGACTGCTCAGTCTAAAATGCCTGGGCCCATTTTTTGTCCCAGTCTGGGCCTGGGGGAATCCACCACTCCCTGAAAATGTGTCCAATGCAGTTGCCAAGAGTAACACTTAAAGGTGAACTCTGGGCACAAAAACATTCTTTCAAAAATATATTCCCCAATAGACACAAAGGATATACATTCACTTTGTTTTCACCAAATGTCTTTTAGGCAATGTCCTATTACCTGGTCGAAGAAGCAGTGACATCATCGCTGTGCTGTATGGAACCTGTGCACAGAGCAGAGCTGTGGGAGGGGTCCAGCAGGCTCCACCCATCACAGTCTGCCTGCAAAAAAAAACTACAGGAGGGGGTGGAGAACGACCAGTCACTTTGCACAAGGAGAGAGAGCAGCATTGACCGGTCAGCAATGGCAGCTCTCATGAATCCATCACTGATCACTTTAGGATGTTCCTACAATCTTTTATTGATTTTTAAAAATACACGTGAAAAAGATCAGCCACAATGGGATGTGTTAGTAACTATATACAGTGTACACATACACTTCGGGGCAGTCATATCGACTGGTTACGTAGGCAAGCTCTACTTCCTGATCATCCTCTTATTTCACTAACCCAGGTCCACCTAATTAAAAACAACAGACGCTCTACAGTCTCTAACGACGGCAAGCACCCACAGTGCACCTGTAGCCAAGGACAGTGTCGTCTTTGCCTAAAAGAGAAGTTTTTCTTTTTCTCACAATCATACCTAGGTGGATGCAGCATCCATCCAATGCTGCATCCATCCTCCATAGCTCTAAGGCCCGAAAACTGAGCGATCAAACACCGCTGATCGTTAAGTTCTCCCAACTGCTCTGAGTAGAGAGCGGTGACTGTCAGTTATCGCTCTCTGCTCCGTCCCTCCGGCGCTCACTGGTGCACTGGGCTATGGAGGGTGTGGAAGTGGCTGGCTCAGGCTCTCAGTGGCTCGCTGAGCCTGGTACCGGTCCACGCTCCTGGGTGGATCCCGACCATATGGTCACCAGCTTGGACTGGCTCTGTGACATTATCCAACAGTGGGCTGTAGCTTGATGTCACCTAAAAACGGGTCACAGGAGTGCAGAACAAATTTCTCTCCTCCGATCCAAACAAGCTATGGCTGTACTTCTCCTTTAAGCTATTACATTATGGAGCCCAAAGCCTATGTTACAGCTAGAGAGGTACCTTGTTTACACTCAGAATTAAAATACTTAGTAATGAGGACAAGTATCTAAATATTTGTCTACCTACCATCCATCGTATGCCCAGAGACCATTGTACAGAGCCAGGCCGATGCCTCCTGCTGTGATGGAAGAACCTTCAAAGCTGTTCTCAAAATTCTGTGTGTTTCCTGGAGGAGCAGAAATGTTGTCAGTTTACACTATTTTCTGTCTGTTAACTCCAGTCTAACCTAAATATAGTGTCTAAGGGCAGGATGCAAGGATGGGCATATGAACTATGCATTTGTACTAATAGTAAGGGCCCAGTGGGGTGGGTACAACACTGGGCCACATGGAGGTGGTACCCCACACAGACTTTTAAAATGATGAAAGGGTGAAGGTAAGCTAAAGAGAAAAAGTTTACCAGGTTCAGGGTCTCACTGGAATCGTTCTGACAACCAAACCTACACGCCATGACTGCTTAGATGACCATCAACAGAGACCAAATGGCTCTGGTGAAGGTACCTTGTGGGGACTTGACCCCATGGGACCAGGGCATTCATATACTTGGAGCTATGGTGCTGATGAAATTCTGATGCGCGGTACCCACCTTGAATAAGCAGCACAATGCCGCTAACAATGATGATGATGACAATGATCATTTTGGCCACCGTCAAGAAGTTCTGGACGTAGCTGGCCAACTTCACACTCAGACAGTTCACCACCGTGATCGTCACTGCCAGACAGAAGGTAACAGAACTTGTTAGATTTAGCATCTCTGTCAACCATATCAGCAACATTTAGAACCTTCCCACCATTCTTCTGGCACATCCAGAATGTGAAGGAGGAGCTGTGGACACTTTCCCACTGTAGGTGTCATAGAAAAGCACGGCGTAACAGATAATTAAAATAAAAGGGATCTCTGGGTAAAACACTAGATGTAGGACAAGGGGGCACTCTATGTCTGGAGGAAAATACATTTAATCTCCAAACATGGAAAGGTTTCTTCACAGTGAGAGCTGTTAAATGTGAAAGACTCCCTCAAGAGTTGGTTCTGGCCAGCTCAGTGGATTGCTTTAAAAAAAAGTCCTGGATTTTTTCTTAGATACGCAGAATATAACTGGATATTAACCAGGGGTGGACTGACCATTTGGAAACTCGGGCACTGCCCGAGGGCCCGGGGTCAGTAGGGGGCCCCATGAGATGCCCCTGGTACCTTTTTCATAGGCTTTTTTGAGTTTGGGCAAGGACACAGGGGCCCCATGATCCCCTATTGCCCGGGGGCCCCATGAGTTGTCAGTCCACCCCTGATACTAACATTTATAGGTAAAATTGATCCAGGGAATAGCCGATTGCCTCTCGGGGGATCAAGAAGGAATTTTTCCCCTGCAGGAGCAAATTGGATCGTGCTTTGCTGGGTTTTTTTTTTTTGCCTTCCTCTTTTTCCCCCATCCCCTTTACTCCTAAGCTTTTTACCATCCCCATCATTTTTTTTACTTTCCCTTTCTTCTCTATTTTATAACTTTTAAACAGACTCCCTCCTGTTTCTCTTACATAGTTCTCTACCGTTGATACTGCATTTCATTCCACTGACGTACACGGTACGGATTATCATGTGCCATATGCATTGTCTCATATACTGTATATCATACTATTCATGAAACCAATACCCCATGACATCCTCCCTTCGGGCACATTCTCCATTGGTGGAATTCTTATGGTTTGCCAGAAGTACGCCTCATTTTCATCCCTAGCAAACATATGCTTCACCACAAGTGAATAATTCTGGTTTACCTCTATTATTTAAGAAGTGTGTTATGTTATATTGTAAATTACTGAATGGGTTTGTAATCCGTTCTCTTACTCTTGCACTCAAAAATCTTTTGATAAAAAAAAAAAAGCTTTCATGATATTATGATTGCTTAAATATTTGAATGGTACAGTCTAAAGTCACTTTCAATTTTTTTTGGGTTGAAACATGATTTAAAAGTGAAAGTATACTCACCTTCTATCCAGTGCTGCAGTCTCTTGGAGCTCTCTGACAGCCGCTGTCATCTTCAGCCGGAGCGGCTTCCAGGTACTGGACCTCAGCCATTTTCATTGGCTCAACCAAGATGACATCACTCTCGTGGGAGTTCATTCATCTCGGCATTGCCGGAATTTGCAGACTTTAAGTGATTGACAGCTTACAAAATTTTGTAACTGATCAGGTGTTTTGGAGCGGTTTTAATACGTTTTCATGTGTTTGTCCTGCTTTTTTTATGGTTTTAGGTGCATTCCTGCACAGTCCTGATTTGGGATCCCTCAGTGTTCCCAGGAACCCACAGTAAAAGATGAGTGATGCCATTGGTGCCTAGGCAAAGAGAGAAGCCACAGTCTAAGGGGACTATTTTTTTTACAATTTTTAAAATGTTTTACTTCACATTTTGCACATGGATTGGAGAGGGGTGGCAGAAAGTGGTCACTAGGATGTAGTGTGATCTTGCATTTTAATGAAAAAATGGATTTAAAACTGAACTCCATGCAGGTCTTTTCTCTTCCCCAGGCTGTGATTGGGCAGTGAAAGGAGAAGCAGAAGACTGTCAAGCGTATCTCTGTCACCCTGTTGTCCTCTTCTATCTTGCATGTCATTGCAATCAGTGCTGGGACAGGTTCATTCAGCACCCAGGGCTAAGATGCAGAACTGAAGTTCCCCCCCCTCCTAATATATGATGTAGAATTGATGCACTGCCCTGTGACCATTCTCTGCCCCCTGTTGCTTGGTTGCCATGAAGTGTTCACTACACATTTGGCCAACTCCTTGCTTTCCAGCACCTAGCAAATGGTTGCACATGCATGGTGTATGTTTCGTGTCAGCTGTGGGTTGAGAGTGGACATGCTGAAGCACATGTGACACTCGGCCTTTTGGATGAGATCAAGTGTAGTATTTGTTCTTATCAGTGTCCAGGAGGGGCGCTCTGCCATCATTCTTGCTTTTAGGCGAGGATGGTTGGCTGTATAGTACCCCTGCTGGTATGATGGGGGCTCCGAAGGCTAGAACTGGCTGGAAGAGAAACTGAGGCGCCCACAAGCTGTTGGGACCAAAGAGTAATTCCCACTGGAAAACCGGAGGGGCCCAGTTCCTCCTGATTTGAGCGTATCTACCTTGTCTGGCCGGGGTCGGGGAGGCAGAGAGTCCGGAGCAGTGCCCCCTGAGTGGCTGCCTCAGGGGTATCTTAGTAGCACATGGGGGTGGGATCCCAAGTGTGAAAAGTGCACATGGTCACTGATCCAAAAACACTTTTTCTGCACTGCGCCTTTTAGGGCTAGGCCTTTTGACAATTTTTTTGCTACGCGCTTCAGGGCCTAGCCAGTGCACAATTGCACGGCCACTTATTTATGTATTTATTTTTCTCCCACGTTTTGTCACCTTTCACTTTTGTGCATGTTTTTTTTCTTACAAGGATGGAGGGTGTGGGTCCTCGGGCCTGCCCTGAAGTCTAGGGGGAGGATGCGTGCCCATCAGGTTCCTTCCTCCCCTGTCCCTGAGGAGGTCTCTCTTTGGGTGAGCCCCCTGACCTAGTACTTGGTGGTTGGCTTTGGCTAGACACAAGGAAAGGGGTCCACCAGCCCTTTTGGCTAGTGGACCATGTGGAATTCTTTGTCCCTGTCAGGAGCCTTGCGCCCCGGGGGATCAGGGTAGAGGACCTACCCCTTTGGGGGGTGGACTAAAACACACCCCTAAGTGAACTTTTTTTGTGTTGGTATTTTGCACTTGCCCATTTTTTGTCCACTTATGGGTTTTCTTTTTTTCGCACCTCCGCGGAGAAAAAAAAAAGAAAATCAGTAGCTGTCAGAGCAGACATGAATCTGCACCCTGCTCGTGGCCAGCCACTGATTTTGTGATTGCATGCAGTGAAGGGGAGCTTTTCCTATCACTGCACCCTTGGCAGCTGTCCCTCCTGTCCACCCCTTGTCCCAGCAGTAATTGCAATGCAGCACAGCTGATTGGCTCCTTGTGCTGCTACTCCCTCTCATAATGAGCTCTGCTGTACAGGGACTGCAAGAGACTGATACTAAATCAAATGCAGGTACTTACACTGATTGCATTAAATACATGTAATGATGTGTTGAATGAATACAGAGCTGCATTCATTTGTGTATTTTACATCTGCATAAAGTTCAGCTGAAGTCAATGTAATCTGAAAGCTTACTAGTAAAGTGTACTTTAAACATAGAAAAAACCTTCATCTTTACAAGTCCTATTTGGTCAGATCTCCTGACCATAGAAGGTGGAACCCTGTTGCCTTCTTTTAGACACACGTGATATACATACTTATGGCCGCTGCTGCCAGACATTTGATGACCACTGGCGGGGGCTCACAGCCAGGATAAAACGGTGCCGATGCGTATTCAGCAAAGCTCAAGCAGATGATGGCAAATGATGATGGCTTCATGACGATGACACTGGACCAGGAGAAGAGGAACGCCGGGATGGGACCAAAAGCCTCCATGAGGTATGGGTACTCCCCACCAGATTTTGTGATCATCGTACCCAGTTCTGCAAAGCAAAGTGCACCTGTGGGAAAATACAAAACACCAGAAGGGGGTTACTCCAACTGGCCTTTCCTACACATCTCCTGCATAGCTCTAAAAAAACATATCTTCTTTGGAGGGATGGTCCCTCTTTTAGAGTCAAACCACTTGGCACTGGTACTAATCTTTAACTGTAATTCTGCTTTTGGCCTAAAATATAAACCTCCATTTAGCACAGTGGCTAAATGGTTAGCACTTCCACCTGGCAGTACTCGGGTTGTTGGTTCAAATCCCAGCCACAGCACCACCTGCATGGAGTTTGTATGTTCTCCCTGTGCCTGCGTGTGTTTCCTCCCACACTCCAAAGACATGCTGGTCGGTTAATTGGCTCCTGTATAAATTGGCCCTAATATGTTTATGTATAGATGTAAATTAGGGACCTTAGATTGTACACCCCTTGAGGGTTAGGGACTGATGTGAATGTACAATATATATGTAAAGTGCTGTGTAAATTGATGGCGCTATATAAGTACCTGAAATAAGTAAATGTACTTTGTCTTACATTGTGATGGATGCATTTATTAATTAAAAAAAAAAATAGAAAAATGGTGGTACAAAGATACAGTGATTGATCACTGATGATAATTGATCATTCTTTATGGTCCGTATATCTGGGAGGTCTAGTTAGCCGTTTGTCCTATAAACTTTATACTTGGTGAAGAGGGCCCTTGCTAGCACAGTCTCAGGAAGATGGGAGGCATCCTAGTTTGACCCTCCTCTGCCCCTCTCCATCAGTGCTGGGGTCACATTAGCTCAGTGATGGAGAAAAACTGAGGGAGAAGAGAAACACTGGAATACTAGTCAGTACCAGCGTGCAAAAGTGTATTTGTTTTGGAAGAATAAATCACCTCTAATGTTGGGTGTCCTACATGTGTGGATGTTGCTGCGTTAAATAAAACTTAGAATAGTTTTTCACATTTTAGAATGGGGTGCCCTTTTAACATTATGGACAGTCTAGACTGTCCATTATTTAAAAGGGTGCCTTGGGACTGTTCATAATTTTAGAGGTTGTGTTGACTGAAAAAAGGTTGAGAAACGCTGCTTTAATGCATGTTCTTTAAGCCCTGTAATATTTACCTAAAATGCCAATTACTCCACACCCGGCCCAAACAACGAGACATGGTCCCACAGCACCTGTGTTACGGAGGACAGATTTAGGGGAAATGAAGATGCCTGATCCAATGATTGTTCCAACAATAAGGCTGATTCCACTGAACAGACCAACCTGCAGATAGGAGACAGAAAAAGTCCAGTTCGACATTAACAAAGTATTTATTACGATTAAAGAATAGTTAGAGGTTACATGATACTTTATTCCCCATATTGATGAGAGAGATGCACTTTGTAGTGTTCACACAACTATTTATTTAGACCCTGTCCCAAGGAGCCTAATACAGGTGAAACTCGAAAAATTAGAATATCGTGCTAAAGTTAATTTATTTCAGTAATGCAACTTAAAAGGTGAAACTATCTTGCAGTGTATTCCTCTCCTCCTTCCTCCATACTCGGGGTCCTGGGCCTCATATTCTTCCTCCGGGGTCCTTGGTTTCCAAATGAGATGCAAAAGTTGCTCTCATCAGAAAAGAGGACTTTGGACCACTGAGCAACAGACCAGGTCTGTTTTTCTTTAGCCCAGGTAAGACGCTTCTGACGTTTGTTGTTCAGGAGTGGCTTGACCAGAGGAATACGACATTCGAAGCCCATGACCAGGATCCGTCTGTGTGTGGTGGCTCTTGATGCACTGACTCCAGCCTCAGTCCACTCCTTGTGAAAGTTCCCAACACTTTTGGATGGCCTTTTCCTGACAATCCTCTCCAGGCTGCAGTCATCTCTGCTGCTTGTGCACCTTTTTCTTCCACACTTTTCCCTTCCACATAACTTTCTATTAATGTGCTTTGATATAGCACTTTGGGAACATCCAACTTCTTTTGCAATTACCTTTTGAGGCTTTCCCTCCTTATGGAGGGTGTCAATGATGGTGTCAGGTCAGCAGTCTTTCCCATGATTGTGATTCCTACTGAACCAGACTGAGAGACCATTTAAAGGCTCAGGAACCTTTTGCAGGTGTTATGGCTGAATTAGCTGATTAGAGTGGGACACTTTGAGCCGAGAATATTGCACCTTTTCACAATATTCTCATTTTCTGAGATTGTGGATTTGGGGTTTTCATGAGCTGTAAGCCATAATCATCACAATGATGACAAATCACGGCTTGGACTATCTTGCTTTGCATGTAATGAGTTTCTCATATATTAGTTTCACCTTTTAAGTTGCATTACTGAAATAAATGCACTTTTGCACGATATTCTAATTTTCCGAGTTTCACCTGTATCTCCACCAGAGCATTACAGACAGTAATTGGTGGCCACCCACCCATCTCTGGAGTCAAACCTTATGAATAGATAGTAACCCAATTACTTATCAGCCAAATTTAAAAATCGCACCAGTCATGAAAACCTGAGGATGCCCCAGTTGACAACAGGAGTATCAAAGTGCACACAAGGACACAAGAAATGCTAGAAAAGATGGTAAGCTGGTTTGGCCACAATCCAAGGGTAATAGTCCAGTCCAAGTTCATATGTTCTGATGGGAACGGAGCAGTGCTCTACTAGAACAATATAAACTTTTAGAGCCGATATAGTATGCAGCACTTTAATATTTCATCAAGCCCTGCCCATGAGGAGCTTAAAGCCTAACAGTCCCTCAATCATACAATCTAGGGCTGATAAAGTGAAGATATACAGTATAGTGAACTTTTTACAGAGCACACAACTCTGTGCCTGTGGAGCCCATGGAGCTTACAGTTATACAGACCCTCTTCTAGAACAAAGAATAGTTACATAGTTAGTTTGGCTGAAAAAAAAGACTAAAGTCCATCCAGTTCAACCATAAAAAAAAAGTTATTATCCTATACCCACAGTTGATCCAGAGGAAGGGCAAAAAAAAAACCCAGCAAAGCATGATCCTGCAGGGGAAAAAATTCCTTCTTGATCTCCCGAAAGGCAATTGGATATTCCCTGGATCAACTTTACCTATAAATGTTAGTGATCAGTTATATTCTGTGTATCTAGGAAATAATCCAGGCCATTTTTAAAGCAATCCACTGAGCTGGCCAGAACCAACTCTTGAGGGAATCTATCCCACATTTTCACAGCTCTTACTGTGAAGAAACCTTTCCGTATTTGGAAATCTCTTTTACTCCAGACATGTGCCCCTTGCCCTCTGTGATGACTGTGATGTGTAGTTCCACCCATAATACTTCATCATCATCACACTCTCCATCAACTAGGTCCTCTTTCATACTCGCTCTGAGATCACTTCTCACAGAGACAGACACCACCACCTTTCCTATTTACTCTGTCTCTCCTAAAGAGAACATAGGCAGGAATATTAATGGCCCAGTCATGTGAAGAATGAAGCCAAGATTCAGCAATACCAATTAAATCATAGTTCTCTTCATGTACCAAAGCTTCCAACTCACCTATTTTGCTTGGCAGACATCTGGCATTGGTGAACAAACACTTTAATTCTTTGACACCTTTTGCACACATATTTTGCATATTTTTTATTTTTTGTACAAATGGTACCAATTCCACTGGTTCTTTGTAACATGGGAACCTTCTTATCATCTGCCATAGCATTGCCCCCATCTTTCCCCATTCCACCTACCAATAAGGACTGACCCCTGTCTGATCTGTCTGCCCCATTATAATCTAATTCTCCCTCCCCCCTTGATCCTAGTTTAAATATTCCTCCAGCCGTCCCCATAAACCTCTCCCCAAGCACAGCAGACCCCCTTCCATTTAGGTGCAAACCATCTCTAGCATATAGGCTGCACCCCAATGAAAAGTCAGCCCAATGCTCTAGAAACCCTAATCCTTCCCTCGTACACCAGGACTTTAGCCATGCATTTAGTTCTGTAATCTCCCCCTGTCTTTTCAGAGTTGCCCATCGCACAGGTAATGATTGAGAGAATATCACCTTGAAGGTCCTTCCCTTCAATTTTCAGCCTAGTTCTTTAAATTGATTCTTAGGGAGCCTCCATTGGTTCCAACATGGACCAAGACAGTTGGGTCATGCCCAGTCCCTCCCAGTAATTTATCAACCTGGTCTACCACATGCCAAACCCTGGCACCAGTGAGACAGCAAATCATTCGATTGAGGCGATCCTGGCGACACATTATTCTATCAGTCCTTCTCAATATAGAATCCCCTATTACCACCTGCTGTCTAGGCCTTCCTGCACTACCCTTACCACCCCTCCCAGATAGTCTGCCCTCCCGACTGTTAGGGATAGCAGTGACATCCCGGGCTGCCACTCCTGAGCTTGCCATCCCCACATTTTCACCCAACTTGGCAAATCTGTCTGGGTGCTCAAACCCAGGGCTGGCCTTCCTTTTCTGTGAGCCCTACCACTCCCTCTCATTACAGTAACCCATCTTCCTACCTGATAATACTAACTAGCCCGTCCACCCTCCACATCAATCCCATTAGCTACCTGCTCAGAGAGCAGAAGACCCCTTTAAAGGTTGTCGGTTCTGCCCAGTGTTGAAACTTGCTCCTCCAGATCTCTAAAGCGAGCTTTCAGAAAGGCAACCCGCTCACATCTGTGGCAGCGGTATCCATCCTGGAGCTGTTGCTCCATTGTTGTATACATGCAGCACACTGTGCACTGCACAAAACCTTCAACCCTGCTAGCACTCCTATCCCACTTACAATATTACCAATAGGAAATATCAGTTGTCACTTACAGGTAAGTAGACTCCTGCTCAGGGGCAGACTGACAACTCATGGGGCCCCCGGGCATTAGGGGATCATGGGGCCCCGTGTCCTTGCCCAAACTCAAAAAAGCCTATGAAAAAGGTACCAGGGGCATCTCATGGGGCCCCCTACTGACCCCGGGCCCTCGGGCAGTGCCCGAGTTTCCAAATGGTCAGTCCGCCCCGGAGTCCTGCTATAATCTCCTGTTGTGTTCAACTTTTTTTTTTAACTGCACTGAATCAAATGTCCACTTTGTCAAAGTTCCAGCAAGCAAAATACAGGCAACCTCAAGAATGAGCAAGCTCAGAGTGAGCTCTGCAGAAAGTTATATAGGACCTGGAGCACCTTTTAACCCCTTAATGCTATATAAAAAGTGACAGAAAAAGTAATTTAAAAAAGAAAAGTTTCTAGCAAGACCCCAAATAAGAAAATAAAGCAACTAAAAGCACCAGCAATCAAAAGCAAAACAGTTTTTCACTCTCCACTCCAGGGGCGGACTGACAACTCATGGGGCCCCCGGGCAATAGGGGATCATGGGGCCCCTGTGTCCTTAGCCAAACTCAAAAAAGCCTATGAAAAAGGTACCAGGGGCATCTCATGGGGCCCCCTACTTACCCCGGGCCCTCGGGCAGTGCCCAAGTTTCCAAATGGTCAGTCCGCCCCTGGTCTGGACCCAACAAGACTAACCTGTACACCGAGATAAGATAACATTGTATTCCGTAGGCTCCACTTGACACTGGTAAGTGACCATATTGTCTGGGCAGACTACTTACCCCGGGCCCTCAGGCAGTGCCCGAGTTCCCAAATGGTCAGTCCGCCCCTGCTCCACTCAAATTTCCCACTCTCTTTGGCTTCCAGCCAGCAAAATCTGCCAGTCAATCTATCTAAACATAAAAAAAAACATGTGCTTACTGGCTAATTGTTAGAAGAGCTGTGATATTTGAAAGAAAACAAAAGTTAGATACCCTGAAATGTGCAATTTGTGACCCAGTCTGTGACTTCTCTGAAACAGCTGTGTAGATGTTCTGTACAGATTCATGGGCCGGCCATTGATTAACTAAACTGGAGGGGCTTGGCATTTACCTACTCCCTCCCATTCCGGGTGTCAGGAATGGACTTGCCAATAACGGTGGGACTCACCTGCCTTGTGGGCTGCAGTACCAGGGCTGGCCAGCGGGTGCTCTCAGCAATCAGAGACTCACCCCTGCAGTCAGCCAAAACACCTGAAGCTGATTGCAGGGGTTGTATTTAAGGAATGGCCAGACTCACAGTCAGGGCTTTGGTGTGTGTTTTTCCATGGGCCCCTGTATCTTGTAACCTGCATTCCTGTTCCTGCCTAACTTGTTGCCAACCCTGCCTGATCCTGACCTCTGCTGACTTCTCCTGTTTGATCCCTGGCTTGTGACCCTGACCATTCTCTCCGCCTGCTCCTCCTGTACCTACCTGCCCGATAGTTATCGACCCGGCCTGCCTGACTACGTTGTGCTCTATATGTGTATG